TAGTATTAGCCATTAGGACTTGATTGGTAGAGCATTAGCATAAACTAATTATTCTCTATTATCCAATCAACATTTGTCAAAAAATTATTTAGAAAAACATTTACCAAATATTAATGCTCTCCAAATGGTCTTTTCTTAATTCTCTCAAATGGAACATTTGCATTTAAAATATATAAAACTTAAAAAATAATTATATATAATTTATGTGTTTGGTTTAACAATAAAAAAAAATTATTACGAAAAACAATAAATTTTTATCTTTAAATTTAAAATAAAATTATAATTAAATATTTTTAAATTATTAAAAAAACAATATTTGATATTTAAAATATAATATAATTTATATAATTTACACATATCATTCATTATTTTTAAAAAATACATAACTTATATATAATGTAAACGATGGGGGCATGAGAAGAGATGCCTCGATTCAGATGACAAATCACCATTGGAGGAATAGGCTCTAACTTATGTGTAAATTCTAGTACATATATCTTCAAGTTCAGACAAATGAGCAGAAAATGAACAACATAAACCAGGCGAGAACAGGAATTTCGAGCAGTCCAAATCCAAACCACGCGACTGTGAACCATCGTAAGCAGCCAGCCTTGCTCCACAGATCTTACAAAAACTTTAGTAGCTTCTTTCACTAAATCAAGATTAGAACTTCGTAGAAAACAATCAGATCATTTGATAATTTGTGGTCTGTTGCTGCGTGTTTTAGATCTGGTTCTGTGAACTTTGGGTGGTGTATCAACCGTTAATGCATACATTTTTACAGCAAATAACTCTTTTGGAAGACCCTTCTGATCCTGGAAATGGTTTTGGAAAAACTGTAAGCTTCTAAAATCTAAACCAACAGTTCTTAGAATAAGGTCATAAGATGAATTAAAGAACAGACAAGAACTCAACCTTTGTTTGATACAGATGTAATCCACATCGACCAAAGAGCTGTTTAAAGTAGTGATCCGATCTGGTGATGCTACGATCCTCTTTATCCAAAACAAATCCTGCGCAACACAAAAGACAAATATACTTAGTTTTTATCAGATATAACAGTTCATAAGAATAGATAAGTCAAGAGAGAAAGTAACCTTGCTTAGCGAGATTCTCTTTCAAAACAAAAAACCCACCGGGTTTAAGGCATCCCTAAGATCAACCACAAACATTACATGAGATTAAGGAGCATAAAAACACGTTGCATCAAAACTATGGTTTCACTTGACTTGTAATAGAGAAACAACAAAACATGGTGCAACGAAAGAGAAGAAACAAAGTCTTTTACCTTTGCCCGGTTAAAAAATGAAACAAAATCATCGTCAGTGAGATGCCCAATGCACCACTGAACCCATATGACATCGTACCTCTGATCAACTGGAGTAAACTCCTACAGTTATATCAAAAATTAACAAAACAAAATTTGAAGGAGAACTGAAAACAAAGATAAAACAGAGAATGAACAAGAGTGATACCTGAAGAGGTACACAGAAGAAGTTAGTTGCTTTATGCGTTTCTGAGCCAGTAGATGCCAGATTTTCACGTGCAGCATCGAGGAACTGAGCTACAGGCTCGAGAAGGTCAACCTAAGATCAAAACAATAGTTGTCAATAAAACAAAAATAGAGAAGAACTGAACATAAGAAGTGACAGAAATCAAAGAAAACATTCACCTCGTTAAAGTACCGTATCAGAAGATTCTTGGTGATCCTTCCAACGCCAGATCCACAATCTGCAAATGCGTTGTGTGGTTTTCAAAGAAACACATATGTAAAAAAAAAAAAAAAAGCAATAAACACCAATGAGAGGAGAGTACCAAGAGCCACTAGATGTTGATTAGTTCCTCCATTTACTAATCTTTCTAGCAAAAGGGTCTTGAGAAAAACCTCACTTCCTATTATATCAGCATCATTCACATGCCCATATCCTCCTAACACTCCATCAACAGAAGCTTCAACACCCTTATATCAAAAAAATAAAACACAATTTGGAATCAAATATGAAGCTTTATAATCCAGGTTAAACAAGTTAGGGCTACATATTTCCTTGGAACAGAAGTCAAATCAAATATGAGAAAAACTCTACAGAAAACCAACAAACCGAACAAAGAAAAAAACAGTAAAATTAAAAATTAAAGACAGAGACTAAGAACAAAAAACAAAACTAGTTTAACTTACTTCCCAGTAAGAAACTCCGTCTCTGTACCATTGTGTCTTCTTTGTTTCATCTCCTTCTTCTCCAATTTCTTCTCTCCACATCTCTTGCGCGCTGTTAAACTCTTTCCCTTCAGAATCTACGCCACAAACCTCCATTGGATCTAAGGATTAAGCTAAAATCGCTTCTTCTGCGTCTGATAGTGACACACTGACGGTGCAAAGCAGACGTCGTCGTCGACGGCGGCGAGATATGGTTTTGGAAGTGGTTGCGATGGCAGTGTACTAGAGAGAATACGATGTAAAGACAAAAAGACATTTTCATTATTGGGCCATTTTCGGATTTATGGGCTTTTAGTTTAAACCCGGGTCTCAGAGTATCCATAGCTCAACCCGACCAGCTTTCGCATCGTTAGTTTAGTGTTTTTTCTTTTGCTGGACACTATTTATTTTAGGTATCACTCTTATTTTAGTAACTACAACTCTGACATTAATAAATACATGTTTTTGTATTTTTCTTTGTCAACTAACATGTCGTTGTCTGTTAAACTGGAAAAGTCTAAAAGATGGAACCAATGGGCAACGGGTACGTCACCAACGCGAGACATTAACAAAGTAACTACATTACGTAGTATATACACATAACTTTGTCCAAAATAAAAACTAATAATAATACACGTAACTTATTCATTGTCAAACAGTCAACGTTGGCAAATAACAATATTCTTAAATTGTTTAAGAACATAAACATTTTTTAAAAAATGTTCTAAATAATTTATATATTTTATTAATTAATAATAGCAACAAATTAGAGTTTTAAAAATAAATATATAAGATTATCATTAGTTTAAAAACTAGGGTGGTTTCTTAAATAGCACTAATATTATCACAAAATAGCAGGAAATCATAACTATTCTTCAATTTCATTCAGAAATTAATATTCTTCAACTAGGAAACATTGTCAAATTACCTTAAAATCTTTAACACTAAACCTCAAACCTTAATTATTAATCTAAACCTAATTTTCATTTAAAACAAATTGCTTCTCTATTTTTTTTTTTTTTAATATTTTTTTATTTTAATACATCTAGTGATCATTTAATTTTAAGTAAAATATATTTAGTTTATAAATTTTAACTACTTTTACTTCTGAGTTAATATTTCAAAACCAAACAAAATACAGTGCTATTTTGAAGATTTTTTTTTTAAATATTAAAAATTCAAATATTATATTTATAATCAAATTTAAAGTTATTTATTTTGTGTCTAAATTTACTAATTTTCTATGGGTTCTTGTGTGGTTGGAATCATTTTAAAGAAAAAACGAATCAAAATATGATGTGTGTCTTTCTAATTGGACCAGTTCAAAACATTTAAAAATTAGTCTCCGCCTCGTGATTCATAGTCTTAAATATCTATTATATTAAAAGAGAAGTCACAACTTCTTTTCATGTGTGATATTTTAAAAAATGAACTATTCCTAGAAAGTAATGTTATGATGAAAGAAAAGAAAGAAAGATAATGTGGGACCGAAAGGGTCTTATCTTAAAATTGGTAAGTGCGTATGCCTTCGCAAGTCACGAGCCAAGGGAATTGAAGGGAGGGGAAATCTCACTTAGTGGAGTGGGCATAGAGGAAGTGGTGGCATCCACGTAACTCAGTCTTATATCTGTCTGCTTATTTCACTCTAATCTCTTTAGAATTTTTGGGTCCTCCATTACAAAGACAACTCCTAAAAAACAGAAGGGTCAGTTCTCGAATTCAACAGTTTTACACAACTAAAACTCTTGTGATGAGAATATATTTATTTTTTATATAGAGGAAAAGATATAAATAAAAAACAAAGGTGTTTATGCTGTCAAAATACCCAAATGCTTTGATTCTGACCAACGGATTAGTACACAGGTAAATAAAGGTTCAGTTTTGGGCCTAGGTAATGTCTATGCGGCCTATTATTCCGTGTAGGTGTCCATTAAATATATCTATACTATCTTATATATTAAAACAGAAGTCATGACTTGAATTCATGTGTGATTTTTTTTTAAAATAGACTATTACTAAGAAGTCATGTTACATTAACTCCCCTAATAATCTTATCATTATTACACCTTATGAAAAATTATATCTATAATAACAAAGATACGCTTAACAATTTAGTTTTGGTAAATTACCACACACTTTCCAACTTAGTCACACAAAATATGTCAATAGATATAAGTTTAGGAATATTCTATTATTTATAAGGAAATATGTCAATAATAGTCAAATGCATCCACAATATATACTAGATAAATTTATTTTCGATGTAAATTTGCGCAAATATATTGTTTAGAAAAATAAATTGTTTAAAAATACCTTTTTAATAAAATTATGTATAATATTAATAAAATTATGTATAAAATTCCTTTTTAATAAATTGTTTATGAAGCTATAAGTTTAGTTTTTAGCAAAAATTTCTTCGAAGTTTATATTAACTTTGCAAATTAAAATATACTAATATTTAATCAATTTCTATTTATATTACTTTGTCTAAAAATGAAATACCAATCTAACAAACAATAAAATATAGAAAAAGAAACAAACACATGTTTGAAAAACATGTATAATATAAAAAATTTGAAACAATCTATTGATTAAAACACGTATTATATAATATTATTATGTTTGAAAAACATTTACTATACATATCGTAAATATGTGATTACTATAATATATATCAATTTACAAGTAAAAACAAAATTTTAATATAACTAATTATAAAAGAAAACAAACACCCGCGCGGTTGCGCGGGTCAAAATCTAGTATGGTATTAAAAACATAGTAAACTAGTCTCCCCCTCGTGAATCCCTACAAGTCTCCGATTATATTAATAGAGAGCGAGTAGGAAGAACAAGACAGTAACAATGGAGATCACCACTAACGACAAGAAGATGTTCTCGAGACAATCTTCTTCATTCAGACTACGAAGTCCTAGTCTGAACGCTCTCCGTCTCCACCGTATCTTCGACTTATTCGACGAAAACAGCGACGGACTCATCACCGTCGAAGAACTGAGTCAAGCCCTCTCACGACTTGGCCTCGACGCGGATATCTCAGAGCTTAAACCAACCGTCGAATCTTTCATCAAACCGGACGAAACCGGACTCCGGTTCGAAGACTTCGCAGCACTCCACAAGACACTGGACGAGTCTTTCTTCGGTGGAGACTGCGAGTGCGACGGATCTCCCGAGTCAGATCTGGAAGAAGCTTTCAAAGTGTTTGACCAAGACGGTGACGGGTTTATCTCCGCCGTGGAGTTGCAGAATGTTTTGAAGAAGTTAGGGCTTCCTGAAGCAGGAGAGATTGAACAAGTGGAGAAGATGATTGTCTCTGTTGATAGCAATCACGATGGTCGCGTTGACTTTTTTGAGTTCAAGAACATGATGCAAACTGTTCTTGTCCGTTCCTCTTGAAATTCTTCACATAAACTTAAAGTTTTATTTGTTTCATTGAATCAAAAAGAATTTCAAGATGAATTATTGTGTAATGTTTTTATGACAAGAAAATCAAATTATGAAACATCACGTTGGTGTGAAATTATTATCATATAATCAAACTAGTAACGCATACAAGATGAGAGATATAAAAGATGGAAAAATTACGCTTAAAAGGCACATTTCAACTTTTATATTAGGGTTGGAGACACTTCCAACTTTAGGTATACATTTGATCTATGATTGTCTATTATGACCCTCAACTAAATCAACCAAACTTTTTATTATGTGTGAATGAAATATTTACTATTTTACTAATAAAAACATGAAAACACAGTTTTATCTCACTGCCTCTATAAGAAAGTCTAGCTCTCTGCTCTTTTAATTTATGTCCTCTTCGTTTCATATCTCATGCAATTATTGTAGAACTGGAGTTTGTTTTTCGTGTTGAGATTAGCAACAATGATTTCTTCTCTGGTGCGAGGTGGTTGTGCTTCGTCTCGTTTGGTGGTCTCCGGTTCCTTGATAAGGGGATCTTTGTTTGTGAGTTGCTAAGTAAGCATAGCTTGTACCTTCCGCCGGAAATGGTGGTTCTGCTGCTTTAACAATGACGGACATCAAATCTGTTGATCACAACAGTTGCCACTGTGTCTTCAGAAAAGGTTCAAATTGGCAAGAATCAGATTTTTGTTTATTTACAGATATGATCCTCGTTATTTTTTATATTTTGGTTTTGGCCCCAAGCCTTCAAATAGTTCTGATTTCCTTTAATATTCGCCCCAAAACTTTTGATTTTGTTCTCCCATCCAGTTGTATGCAAATTTTATTTCTCCACAAATCTATGCATCCACATTTTTATTTGTCCATAAATCTAATACACATCCACCTTTTATTTGTCCACAAGATCTATTTTTATGTAATGATATGTTTTTCATATTTAAATTGCTAAATTATTTGTAATGGATTTTAAAATCTATTTTTTTGTGTAATGATATTTTTATTGAGTATTTTCGATCCATCTTTGTTCAAGATTTCTGTATCCACATTCTCGTATCCAAGTTTTTCTCATCCACGATTCCTCCACACACATTCTTAAGACATTTACCATTAAGTGCGTTTGCGGCAGGTGTTGTTGTTTTGGCTTGTTCTATGATGGTGAGGAAGAGAATGAAGAGTCAGAGAATATATAGGAATGTTATTTGTTCACAAATATATATTCTATTGTGTCCATTCGTACACAGTTTATATGTACACAACTCATTGGATTTAAAAAATGTGGGAATCGAAATTCGCACTGTCGATTTCCGTAAAGTAAGGAAACTTAGGAAAACCCTAATTTTCAAGAGGACCCGGATCTCTGCGAGAGCCAACGACAAGTAAGCAAATAAATGCGGAAAATATGAAAAACACGATAAACCGAATTTATAAAAAAAATTTGATCTTATTTCGAATTCGCGTAAGAGCGTTGCGATCATTACAAGAGATTACAAAGGTTTTGGCCGCAGGGGCCGTCAGCAAATTTCCTAGTTCTAGCAACATTAAACCCTAAACCTAGTTGAGTCGCAGCTCGATAACAAAAGACAAAAAAGATAAGAAAAAAGGTTTTGATTGATTTCAGACTGAACCTTGTGAAAGGCTGCCTACGTACTCCTTTCGAGGATCAAGCCAAACGTAGTTCAATTGGTACAGCTGGACAAGAGATCGAACTGCCTGGGCGAGTTCGTCAAGTAATTGAGTTCCAGTCATAGAAACTGAACTTGTCGAGAATAAAGCATAAGTTTCTAAGTGCAGAGAATTTTAAGTCTAGAAAAGTTGTAAAAGTTATTCCCTCCTCTTCACTTCGACCTTATGCTTATATATTCTTTCTTTAGGTGGTTGATCTTTCCTTTTCCGCCTTGATACGTGTTTTACCGGAAATCTTCCATTTATCTCGATCTTCCCATTTTTCTTTGGAAAAATTCTATTTTGTCTCCAAACTTGACATTTATACATTCCTGCGAGTAATGGGTAAACCGTCATCATATCTTTGGAATGGATCTTGTCTAAAGTCGTGAGTGGGCATTTATCGCGTTTTAGGACTTTCCGAGCCGTTTTGCGATTTAGCCGTTTTACAACTTTAGACGAGATCGGTCCATGATACGATGCCGTTTTTATAAATTATCTCGAGTTAATCTATAGTTTGGTAATGTCCGGTGTCTCGTTTAACCGTTCCCGTTTTATACGATTTACTCGAGGTTTTACGAGAAAACAAGTTTTTAGCGATTTTTAATAAAATATCTCGAGTTAATCATATAGTTTGGCAATATCTAGTGTTTTGTTCAACCGTTGCCGCTGTATACGATTTACTCGAGGTTTTACGAGAAAACAAGTCTTTTGCGGTTTTTATCGTAAAACTCCAACGGTAAGATGGATCGAGTACGATCGAGGAGCATGGATGGTTTGGTTCAGCTCGCCTATTGGCGAGCTGGACGGGTCAGTTCAGCTCGCCAACATGCGAGCTGGTCAAGCATGGCCCTTTTCATTCACCAACTATGTCTATAAGAGAATTGTTCCATCTTCTTTTGAACTAGCGCTAAACGAGAAGCATTTTATTTGCATTCCGCAAACTGAGATGATGATTGTTTGCATTGGTTTTTAGTATTTAGATTTTATGTTTTAGTTTTTGATTTTAGCTTTTTATTTTTTATTTTCAGATTTTGATTTTAGATTTAGATTTTGGTTTTTGGTTTTGCGGTAGTTTTTAAGTTTTGAAAAAATAAGTAATATATTATTTTAAAGTTATACAACAATAATAAAAATTAAAAACTACTATAAACATTTTATTAAAATATAATGATTATTATTTAAAATTCAAAATATATTATCATGTTTAATTTATTATATTTTTACGAAACTTATATTATACTAAATTATAAATCATAAAATAAGTATAAATTATACAGTATTTAAAATATTTATATATGGAAATTATTTATAAAATTTCTTGTATTTTACATTATAAATTCTGAATGGCATTTTCTATTTTTCAAATTAATATAATATACGTTATTAGTTAAATGCTATGTTTTATATTTGAAGTTACTGTTCAATAAGTCTAATAATTATTAAAATTATTAAATAATTTTATTTATAGAAATGAATAACCACTTGCAATTAACTAATATTATATATAAGTATAGGAATTTTTTTGACATGAAACATAAATAATTACACATTATTGCTTAAATGATATTTTCTAACAAAATTTTATTAAACTTATATCTTTATAAATTATTATTATTTAATTATTTGCTAATTAAAATGTACTATTTTCTAATAAAAAATCGTTTTTATTATAAAAAATCCACAAAAATGGGTTTTTAGTTTTTCTTCATAAATTGTTTAAAATTTTGAAAACCCAGTTTTCCTAAACTTCAGAGAATCTAATTACTGAAAATCTTGTTTGGTAAACAAATAGTTTTTACAAACACCAAAATCTTGTTTGGGTAAAAAACTTGTTTTTAGAAGAAAAAAAAACCAAAAACTATTTTTGAAACTACAAACAATCATTATCTTGTTTGTTTACAGATTTTGAAGTAGTTTTCTGTTTTTTTTTAAACTAATTTTTAGACGGTCAAGTTTTTACAAAAATAAATTCCATAAAATATAAGGAAATTGATTTTTCAAATAACTATATTACTCTAAAGAAAAACTAAAATCCAAATTTTCTTGGTTTTTGTCTTAATTTGCGTTGGTTTTCATTTTTTTTCCTTTTGCTATATTTATGCATAAATACAGTAAAATCGAATAGAAATGATAACTACTGTGAAAATAAGGTAAGAAGCACTTGTTTAACATATACAACAACATTTTTTAACTTGTCAATAAAATCTATGTTACATGTTTTATTACTATTCTATTAGTATTAGTTGTTATAAAAATTAATACATCTATGCTAATCATAATAAATATTTATTGCACTAAGACTATTAAGATAATTTAATTGGTTTTTATTTACGTTAAGTATTTTAATTACATATAGTTTATGTAATTTACCATCTATTTTTATTTTAAATTATTTTCATCTTTTTAATAAAATATAACTATTAATTGTCTAGATTTAAATGCACTTTAGAATCTAGTTACTGAATAATGATTTTATAATATTTGGATATAAATTTTAGTTTTACCATATCTTAAAAATATAACTAAATCTATTTAGTATAAAAAAAAAAACTTAAACTATCAATTGTGTATTTTTGTGGAGATATAAAATTTACTGTATTTTAAAAATGTAGCTATTAATTTTATTTAGTATATATATATTAATAAATTTTTAATATAAATTTATTTCTTTTAGTGATAAAATAAAATTTTGTTTATGGTTTTGAAAATAAATATTTCATTATTAATAATTTATTCTAGTTCAAGAAACAAAAACCAAAACTAATTTTACCATTCAAGTTTTCTGAAAAACTAAAATCTACTGCAAAATCAAAAAGTAAAAATTAAAAACCAAAATCTAAAAACTAAAAACCAAAATTTAAAAATCAAAAACTAAAATCTAAAAATTATGCAAACAAACACCTGAGTATAATCTACGTTTATTACTTAGATCAAAATTAGTAGTCGCGTGTGTATGTAAAATTGATAAAGTAAATGCAAACCGTGGGATCGAATAATTTGATTCAACTCCGATGACTAAACACGTTAGATAGTTGGGCAGTCGCTACAACTAAGCAGCCACACCTATTTTAGCATCAATTATTAGTATCATATTTAATTCTTTAAACCACTTCTAGTGAAACTATTTGTAGTATTTTTCAATAAAAGGTTCAGACACTAGTTTGACTTAGATTAAACAATATGTTAGATACTCTAAAAGTATCACCAGGGTCGGCCCAAACATAATAGATGCCCTACTCAAATTAAAAATTTTGGGCCTTTTTCTTTAAGATAAAACATTTTAAAAAAATTTGGGCCCTTTTTCTTAAGCTAAAAAACCACAAAATGATTTAGGCCCTAAGCTATTGGTTCCTTTGCCTACCCTATGGGCCGGGCCTGAGTATCACTAATCGAACATAGGTTAGGCGAAATTAAAAGAGAACATTCGAGTTCTCGTTTATTTGGTGGAACTATATTGGAACTTCCATATTTATGTTTAATTTTATATGATTAGCATAAAATAAACAATTATATTAATCATATAAGAAAATTTACATTTTCTCATATATGTTCTAATGAATTTTGTAAATGACTATAAATTACTAAAACTGATAAAAATTCCACATTAATTTTTTATGTAATTTTATTATAAAAAATAAATGATTGTAATTAAGACCATATGTTTATAAATTCTTATTCAATAGATATCCAAAATAATATATATATATATTTTATATCATAAATATACAATTTTTTAATTTCAAAATTTGCATTGAACAAGAATGAAAAATTTAATATTTTAATTTCAAAATGTGTAGTGAATTTTCAAAAAAAATTATAAATTATTAAAACTATTAAATCTTAAATTCCACATCCAAAATCTATCTCCGAATCTAAGACGTAAATCTATATTAGTTATTTTTAAACGTATAACTTCAATATAATTTTTTTGCTCAAAATAATTATTACGTGCTATTTTTTAATAATTTTTTTAGTGTTATGTTAGATTATTTCTAATATTAATAGGCATAAAAAACAGGAATCTAATTAGTCTAAGAGTATCTCTATAATATTATTTGAGAAGTCACTTTCTTAGGTGTCGCGCTCACGTTAACTTTCACGCTGATTGATTACTATGATACCCCTAATGAATTAAAAATATATTTAAAAATTATTATTTCCTTTTTAAAATCTTCCAAATAACAATATAAAATAAAAAGGAAATATTTATAAAATTTACAAAACTATTTAAAACGAAAAATAAGTATATATATAATATGGTTTCATAAAAAAAGAAAGTTTACAAAATAGTAATATTTAACTTAAATATATTTTTAAATAACATAAATTATACTTTTGAAGTAATAAAATACTTTATATCTATATTTTCTTAGATGAAAAAGACATTTGTATATAATGTGTTTTCATTAAAAAAGTTCATACAAATAATCTTGATATTAGAAAAGAAATATTTTTCTTTAAAAATAATTTAAACAATAAAATATATATTTTCAAATTAATTATTTTTTGATATATCTATCTATTTTATTAGATTATTACATAAAATAAGTAAGTAACATAAACTGATATATGTTTAATTGGCAAAAAATTATAATTAGTATTATTGAAATATTTTTTTAGTATATTTATTTGATTATAATATCTTACAATTACAGCAAAAAAATATAAATTATATTTTACTTATATAATATAATTTCTCAAAAAAAAATCACATTTTTACTACATATTTTAATAGATGTTAAAAACAAAACTAAAAATAAATTTAATAATAAACATCTTTTGATCAAATAACTACAATTCTTTTGATATATCATAACACTATAATTTAACAAGGTAGATATAT